TGATTAGTTGAAGATAAATTAGTAAAATGGGTTTTTAAAGAAATTAATGAAATTTGAGTAGTTATTGGATTTTAAAGGCATATTTGACTTGTCAAAAGTATGAATAAGGAATTTGAAGTGTTAGAAAGGATTAAAAACAAGGTTGAAGATTTAGTATGATTTTTAGTTTTAAGTATTCTATGGGGAATTTGGATGTTAAAAAGAAGATTAATGGATTTAAGTTAATTGGGATAAGTGTTAATGAGTTTAAGGGTTTGAATGGAGTTAAAGATATGATATTTAGGTGAATTTTGGGTAAAATTCGAAATGAGTTAAGGAAAATATGGGTAAAGGTATCGGTACTGGAAGAACAGTACCGATACTATAAGGTTAATTTGAAGGAAATGGTATGAATCGGATAAACAATATCAATAATGATTGAAATAGTATCCATACTGATGTGGAGGTATCGATACCAAGTGTAAGGTATCAATACTGTTATTGAAGATGAAATTCCAGAATGCTATAATGATATTAATACTGAAGTAGGTACCCTAGAAGAGAGGTATCGATACTATAAGGAAAAAAGAGGAATTTCATAATGCAAATTGGGTATCGATACTAAGGTAGGTATCGATACCATAGAAGGAAAGTATCGATATTGGGTGTAAAGCATCGACACTATTCAGTCTGAAATTTTGAATTAGATGTTTTATTTAGTTATGCAAATGCTGATTTGGTTAACAATTATTTGAGCTCTGATATTCATAATGGTCATTTTAACGTCTAGATTCGATTGAAAGCAAGTGTTGAATGAAGTGATGTATAAAGATAGAGTGAAAGTGAAAATGAGGTGCTTAGGGCTTAAGTGAGGCAAATGTGAGTGCTACTTACTTATTTTATACATGATTAGAGGATGGCTTGCGATGAGCCAACCTCAAATACTTTTGAATAAAATGTTTTGAACAAAATGATTTGTACTATGCTCTGGTTTTAGCTAAATTGTATTTTAAAAGCACTGTTATGAGTTCATTTCTATGAGTATATATATTCTATGTGAAATAATATAAGTATATGATTTACGTGATTATGTTTTATGTGAACAAATGATAAGTGAGTAATGTTATGTGAAATGACATGAGTGTATGTTATAGGTGAATATCTTATATGTGAAAATATCCTACGTGAAAATGTTTATGTGAATAAGTGCTAAGGGAATGTGTTCTATGTGTATAAAAGACACTTTGAATAAAGAAATGAAAATTTAATTAAATGATTAAAGCCCAAAGTATATGTATGAGAATTAGAGGTATAGTTGGCATGCCAAGAGTCGAGGTTTATACGCAATCCTTCGGGATAAATTCTACGTGGTCCTTCGGGACAAATTCTACGTGGTCCTTCGGGACAAATTCTACGCGTTCCTTTGAGACAAATCTATGTGGCACTTCAGTGCAAATTATATGAGCAGTGGTGACTGCAATTATATTGCACAACCTCAATGCACTCACATACCTTGATTTCTCATTGATATATGTTGGGCTAATTAAACAAATTGATATGGATTTAAAAGTGTATAATTGTATATGACATTTTTTATGAAATGTAAATTGATTTTGTATTGAACAGTGCCTTAAAGTCTATTTTATTTTTATGAAAGTTAAATAAAATTTTGTATTAAGTATTTTCTCTGAAATGTTTAAATAAAGATTTTATTGTTTTATTATACTCATTAAGCCTCACTAAGTCAAAGACTTAGCGTGTGAGTGTTTTCACACGTAGGTTCAGAGGAGTCAGCAAATTAAGCAAGGGCAGGATAACATATCTTTGAAAAATATCATATCAGAATGTTTTAAATATGTGAGTTCTGCATTTGAAAGTTGTTGGCATGTACTATAAATGTGTAAATAACAAATGTTCTTATATGTTTTGTAAAAATATTCATTTTTTTGTTTTCATTGTCAAAATCTAGTCGGATTTTCAAAGAGATAAAGTTTTGAAAAGTCAATGTGGCACCTCAAATTTGTATCCGGCGTGTCGGGGTGTTACATCTAATTTTCATCCCAATGCCTCAACAACTCTACTATTACCACTTGAGTCACTCTCTCAATGTTTTCCATTTAGTACTCAAACTTTGCCAACTTTCCAAAATAGTCAAATTTCACATTCTAACATCAAATTCAATATTCTAACTTTCAATTCCAGCATAGTACATCATCTTTCTAACATTTTCTAAGCGTAGGGAATTTTTTTCCCCAAATTTTCCCCAAATTAATTCCTTAGGGCCGAATATCACAGTGGTTAGGGTTCTAGATATTCACTTGATTCAAGCATGGATTCCACCTATAAACAACATTTCAAGGCTTCTACAATCAAAGCCCTAACATAATTTAACCAAATCATAATTTTCTCAAAACCCTAGGTCATGGCCAAATGGAATTTTACCCAATTTCAAGTAGTTTTAATCATCATATAAACTTTAGAATTAATCTTCAACATTAAAACATAAAAATCTTTCACCAAATCCTCAAAAACAACAAACCTACATAAACCCTAATTTCCAAACTCATTATATAAGCATGATCTCCATGTAATATTTATACCAAATAATAGAGAATTTCAAGAGGATTAATTTTCTATCTAATAACTTAATCCAAAAATTAATCGAATAAGCTTAAAAAAATTCTTACCTTGTAGATATGGTGGTGCACGTTTTGGGGTGGAAGAAACTGAAAATTTATGATTTTTCTTCAATTAAAACATAATACACTTGGCTTAATATAATATAAATGAATTTAAAATTCATTTAATGTGAAAATATCATTTTACCCTTAATGAAACATGATAATTTCAACTTGACATTGCATTATCATCCCTTTTAGTATTCCAAAGTTAAATATGAACAAATAAAAATCCACTTTCCACCTTTGCCCATGCAAATTTTCAAAAACTATAATTTAGTCACTAAATTTTCCAATTTCAGCTAAATATGTAAAATTGACTTCAATTCCACTGATCCACATTAAATTTCACTGTTCTAAAATTTTGGAAATAATATTTCCAACCTTTATCTATCATCCTTCAAATTTTTGTGAAATTCCGATTCGATCCGATTATCCGATTTTCTTTTGGACTTTACTACTTTATAACTTTTAACACAAATTTCGGATCAAAATGTTGATTCTCATGAAAATGTTATTTTGGGGTTGAAGTATTCATTTGTGTCAAAATACATAACTTTTAAAAATTACCCCTTTGGTCCCTAAACTTTTCCAATTTCTACTTTAGCCACTAAACTTTCAAAATTTATATTTTGGTCACTAACCAAAATATGGGGTATTACAAAGACTTTTTGATTTTTTTAGTTACTCAAGGGAATCAAACCCAAAGAGGATAAGAATTTTGTTTGTATAAAAAGGAAAAGTAAAAGGAGATGAATTGTTACCTAAGTTCATGTGTTGAGATAACCGGGGTTTGAGATTTACTCTGATGCAGAAAGCGTCTACTGAAGAATGCTAGCTTGATTCTTCTATCTAGGTTAGTGAAGTTTAAAGAACTTAAACATATTGTTGAGACGAAAGAAACTAGGGATAAAGGACTAAATAATTTGTGGTATTTGTTAAACAGAACGCCACTAAAGGCTGCACAATTACAACGTTCACGCCAAAATGCCACTATATACATATATTATTCCGGCATTTATTAGATAAATGTCAGTAAAATACGTGTCTTTAGTGGATTTTTCCTTAAAAAATGTCACTATTTTTCAGTCTCTAACGACGTTTTCCCAAAAAAACACCTCTAATATACATGAATGTTATGGTGCATTCCCCTACACACCGCGAATTTTATCATATTGTGTCGTTTTGTTTATAAACGCCGGAATATGTACAAAATTAGTAGTGTTTATTCCAGAAACACCGTTAGAAGTGCCTCTAAAAATCTGTTTTGTTGTAGTGTTACCTAGTTCCCCTTTCATTTTATTTGTTACATTTTAAATATTTGTTGAATATAAGAACTAAACTGAACGTAAGGTATATTTTGAAGATCGAACTGTGAAACCTAAGGAGCTCAAGGATAAGCGACATAATTTCACCATTTTTTTTATTTGCAAATAAAAAGATTAAAGAGAGTGTTGGTTGCTTAAAATTAATCGAACGTGCTCATAAACGTTAAATGAATATGTTCTCGTGCATTAAATAAATGAACACAAACACTTTCGAAAATAAATAAACAAATTGATCACGATATCAAAAATTTAAATGAACATGAACCAAATATGAATACCTTCAAAAATAAACAAACAAACATGAATATAGTTTCATTCGTTCAAACTCGGTTTACACTCTTATGTTCAATCACTCAAAAAATATATGTTTAGAAAGCTATATTTAAACATTTGAAAACTTATATATCTAAATAACATGGGATTTAAGAAATTCATTGGGAGTTTTCAAATCTCACATTAGTTAAATATGTGGGTTTTCAAGTTGATTAAATATAAATTTTTAAATATATCATGATTAAGGTATTGAACATGAGGCTAATATACATGTGTGATATGCCTTGTGCAACTGTCTTTAACAGGTACAACATGTGTTCCACCCCCCCCCCTAATGCGCCTTTCTTCTACGTGATAAAATAATATCAAATTAAAAATAATTATAGTTAATATTAGAAGGAAATTCTTTTTAAAAAATATATATTTAAATAAAAAAAAAGTCAAGCGCATATGCATATATATTAAGTCATCAACATGATATGTTTTTATTTGATAAAATAATAAATTTATTCTTAATATTTATATATTTTTTAAGTTCAGTCTTAACCTAACCACTAATATTTACGTATTTTACTAATTTAATCTCAATTATAAAATTAAAAAAATGTATAATTATAGAAATTATGTTAGTTTGATTAATCAACTGAATAATATTAAAATGAATAAATTGACTTTGACAATTATTAAAAAAAATAAAATAATTTACAAAACAATTTAAAAATAACTCAGCTTCTAAATTAAATTTAGATCCACTATACCTTAATTATGCACACTAAAACAAATTTACCTACATAACATAGAACAAAAAGGAATATCATTTGTATGTCTCTCTTCATTTCCCTGTTTCTGGTCCTAAATAGTTCTTGTCAGCTTCTGAACAGGCCTTTGCTATGTGCCTCGCAAATTATCTTTCACTGGGGAAACTACAAGGATATAGACAAAAAATGAACAAAAAAAATAAGAGAATGAGGGGAGAACTAGTCCCCGTCATGCAATTTCGCCCTCTTCGATGGATGTGGAGGTGATGATAGTAGTTCCGGGATCGATATGTCACAACCAAATGATGCTGTAGTTGACGGAGAGGATGATAGCGGTGACGACGAGGAGGAGTTAAGGTTATCATCTTCTAACTTCCTTTTGTGGACTCTTCTCCCTTCTTGTTCCTCTGTTTCGCCTCTCGTTACACAGTCTTCCATCAACCGTTTTATGTCTGACAGTTTTACGGGCTTGACCAGAAACTCCTCCGCCCCTTCCTCCAAGCAACTGGAGACGAAAAACAATGTTTTAAACCATTGTTCGAAGTTAACGAAAAGCAATTATATAGCACATGACTACTCGCGAGAAAAACAAACAGCAAGATCAATCGAGCACAGATGCATATATAAATTCATCGAGAACAACCGAGCTAAAACTAGAGATGGCCAAAATACCCGAACCCGATGGGTTCAGAAAACAGCAAGATCAAGTAAGCACAGCACAGATGCATATATAAAGTCACCGAGAACAACCCCGTCAAAATTAGAGATGGTCAAAATACTCGAATCCGATGAGTCATCGACCCGACCTACGGGAAGAAAAGCAATCACGGCCAAATAGATCCAGAGAATAATAATCAGAATAATATTTTGGAGACGAGACACAACTAGACAGACAAGTGATGTGTCGATTTAATAAAGATTTTGGTTGGTCTGTTTCCCACAGAAATCCAAACAAAATATAGAATCTTTTTAGTATTGTCCTATTACAAGAACATATCAGATTTAGCTAAATCTTATCGATAACAGCAGATTCCTTCATTTCAATTTCCCCAGATTTCCTCTTGAAGTGAAATTCTATCGAATATATTTCCTGTTCAACTCCCAAACAGATTGAATTTTCCGGGAAAATCATCACCAAACAGAAATATAACAGGACGTATCAATCATTATACCTATCAATACGAGTGAGGATGTTCTCAGAGGACATGATCACCACAGGAATTTCTCTGAATGCTGCTGATCGCTGTTCGAAAAGGATCAGATGAAACATATTCAACAATAAAAGTCCAAAATGTTTCACCTCCATTGATGATCAAATATATTTACATGAGTATAAAAACAATGACCTTGATTTTCTTGAGGAGTTCATATCCGGTCATTCCGGGCATGGAATAGTCGGTCATGATAAGATTCACCTTCAAACCCTGTAACAACACAACAGCGATCAAACAGCAATTCAGCCATTTTAACAAACACCACACAATAAATCCCCAATTCCATCCAACATTTTCTTCTCGGCAAGCAAACAGATAGAAGTATAGAACAACTCACATTGAAGCCCACAGACCCTTTCTCTCCATCCAAACCAAGAAACTGTAAAGCTCTTGCCCCACTCTCCACAGCCGTCACTGCACCAAAAAAAAACCCAATCTTCAATAAAAATAATCCACAACTTTTGATCCAAAACAAACCAAGCAGTACCTTGACAAGAAGATATCTTCAGCAACTTTTCAATAACCTTACGATCAACATAACTATCATCCACAGCAAGAACATGCAATTCCTGGGAAGACCCAGATTGTAAAACCTCACCAGCAACTACCATAATCCTTTTGAATGTGCTATGGTTTTAGAATAGGAAACACCAATGGTGGGTTTGGGTTTTTTTAATAAAGAAGAAAGAGAAAGAAGAATCTTAAAAAAAGGAGAGAGGTAAAGGCGATGATTATGAAGATCCATCCATCCAATATCGTAGAGTAACATCTTACCAAATCTTTTAAAAGCAGTTATCCCCCACCTGTTCCCTGTGCTGTCCCCTTCGATTTACGTGCACTAATGTCGAAAGTAAATTGTGGTGTTACTTTGCACGTAAAAATGAGCATTAATGGAGGCAGGAGACAAATCGTAAATAAATTGTAAACAGTGGCTTTGCTGATACTGTTTGAGTTGTTGAATTGAAACTGGCACAGTTACGATCTCGAAATGGAATCGGGAAATATAAGAAGAAATCATTCACTTATCCGTCGTTTGTTTTCTGGTTGGTCAGTTTCTCTTTTCACGCTTCATCTCTTTGACCACCGTTTTATCTTAGGCCTTTTCGTCTTAAAAGAATAACTCAATAGTCAAACATTTTTGGCCAACTTTATACGATTATAAATACGTAAAGAAGCAAATATGATTGGATAATGGTTTGGAGGAAAAAATTCAATTAGGTTGGAATACATTACGATGTTTATGGATAAAAGTGCCCAAATAATATTACAGAGAGTGTTTAATTTCTAAGTTAACGTGTTTTCAATATTATTTTTTCATCTAACGATTTTATATAATAATCACCTAAAGATTTTAGGATATCTCGGTATTTTTAGACTAAAATTTTCATACATGAATTATTCGATGTCTTTAGTTAATTTTTTTTGCTTACTGTGATTTTTGACGATTTTACCAAAAAAAATCATATTTTACTTAAATATTTACGTTTCAGACACCCTTTGAGATAATATTCTCGATCTAACACCCTTTGCAGAAAGGCGCGGCCCATGCACCGCTTTTAAACTTTTTTCTCGACTATAAATACGCTCTCAACTCGTAAACATTCACTGCAATCCTTTTAACTAAAAGAATGTCGTCGCTTCAGTACAAATATCCAACATCATTGTTTCCGTTAACTTATACAAATTTCCATCCAAACGAAGCAGACCGGTTTTCATTTTATAACTGCAAAAAAATAAAATATTTAAATAAAATAATTAAATAATTAAATAAAATACTAACAAAATATTAAATATAACAAAATATACCTTATAAATAAAATTTGAACGAGGTTTGGGTTTTTAGAGGATTTGAGAGAATTTGAGAGGATTTGGTGCGGTGAAAATAGTTGAGAGTGAGGTATTTATAGGATGTGATGGATGGTGTAAACAGTCAGTTGGGTCGGTGGGATGGAAGGTGCATGGGTCGCGCTTTTCTGCAAAGGGTGTTAGATCGGGAATATTATCTCAAAGGGTGTCTAAAACGTAAATATTTAAGGATATTTTACAGATCTAGCAAATTTTTAAATATTTTCTATAAAATTATTCATGCATTAAATTACATAATACAATTATGTCTACCAATTACCACTTGACAATTTCTGATGCGTTTTTGACCATTTCAAAATCCTATACGTATACTATATTCTAGGATTTTGAAAAATAATTTTGCAGGAAGGCGCGACACATTCACCGCATAGAATTTTGAAAAATAAATATTAGTTATAAAACTTTTATAAATATTTTTCAAATCTTATGCGGTGCATGTACCACACATTTCTGCAAAATTATTTTCAAAATGATGATGATGATGATCCGTAATATTTTATAAAATTATTTATATTCTAAATTACTTACCCTCAAAATTTTCCTAGAATATACTATACGTATATGATTTTGAAAGGGTCAAAAACGCATCAGAAAGTGTCAAGTGGTAATTGATAGATATAATTGTATTGTGTAATTTAATGCATGAATAATTTTATAGAACGTATTTAAAAATTTACTGGATCTGTAAAATATTATTAAACAGTGTCTAACAAGTAATTAATTTATGTTAAGGTGATATTTGTGTAAAACGCCAATTTTTTTTCTTGAATTTCAATTGAAGACGCCTAGGAATCCCAAAAAATAATCAACACCACTGAAGACGCCGAGAGATCCCAAAAGCCTGTAAAAAACACCTTAAATCAAAAATTAATCGGACAAGTGCATTAGATTGAGAATTAAACATTCACACATCCTTATTTGGGCACTTTTGCCGATGTTCATGGGCAAAAATCGTGAGATAATGGTGTGGAAAAAAAATTCCTGAGATAATATTGTTGGAGAATTATTTGATGAGATAAGACGATTGCTACAGTTCAAACGTTAGTCGTGGTCCGGGCGATGAAGGAGGTCGCCAAGCCATCAACGCCATATTCATGCCTGCCTTGCATCTTTAGAATTTCAACATCTTTAATATAATATTCATGCCATGACTTTCACGTGCATGCTCCATTATTTAATAAGATTTGTTTTATATAATATTATTTTTATTATTAAATGATATATGTTTTTATTTTATTATTATATTAACATTAATATTTTTTATAGTATTGATATATGTTTTTTTACTTTTTAAAAGTTTTGAATTTTTGAATTAGATTTGTTTTATATAATATTATTTTTATTATTAAATGATTAACTTTTATTATCTAATGATTTAAAAAATAGCATATTAATATATTATTATGTGATATTAATCTTAGATTGACTGTCAAAACTGTGATGGTTTGTATAAAATAATATTGACAATAAAGAGGCAAAATTCTTAAGATAATGGTGTGAAAAAAAAATCTTGAGATAATGTTTTTAAAGAATTAATTGCTGAGATAAGACAATTGTATGTTGATGGCAATGAAAGGGGTAGAAGATGGTGATATCTACCAGATGGTGGTTACAGATTTGGCTTTTTATAAGAAGAAATTGATTGGAGGGAGAATGGTTAGGATTTAGTGTTTAGGGTTTAGGGTTTTTAATAACAACCAAAATATTTTAGGATTTAGGGTTCGTAAAATCAATAGTTACTGATATCTACCCCTTTCATTGCCCTCAACATACCATTGCCCTATATCAACAATTAATTCTTCAATAACATTATCTCAAGAAATTTTTTTCACATCATTATCTCAAGAATTTTGCCTCTTTATTGTCGATATTATTTTATACAAACCATCACAATTTTGATAGTCAATCTAAGATTAATATCACATAATAATATATTAATATGTTATTTTTTAATTCATTAGATAATAAAAGTTAATCATTTAATAATAAAAATAATATTATATAAAACAAATCTAATTAAATAATTCAAAAATTTTAAAAAATAAAAAACATATATTAATACTATAAAAATATTAATGTTAATATAATAATAAAATAAAAACATATATCATTTAATAATAAAAATAATACTATATAAAACAAATCTAATTAAATAATGGAGCATGCACGTGAAAGCCATGGCATGAATATTATATTAAAGATGTTGAAATTCTAAAGATGCAAGGCATGCATGAATATGACGTGCATGGTGACCTACATCCATGGCGCATGCACAGGTCGCAAGGATGGCTTGGCGACCTCCTTCATCGCCCGTACCACTTGTCGACTAACGTTCGAACTGTAGCAATCGCCTTATTTCAGCAAATAATTCTCCAACAAAATTATCTCATGATTTTTTTCCACACCATTATCTCACGATTTTTATACATTTAGTCCTCAATACTTTTATATTTTATCAGTTTGGTCCTGAATTAAATTTAACTCAATAAATTCAGTATACCAATTAAATGGTTACATCATCATGTGATTGAAGGAAAATCAAGGCAAAATTCTTCATGTAATGCTTTGAAAAAATAATATTCTTCACATGTTGCATTTGATCAATTATTTGTTGAAATAGTGTGATTTCTATAGTAACAGGGTTGGTCGCCAGGTGCTCCAGACGACCTGTACAGGTCGCCATTTCGTCCGAGCGTCGTGCCGTCGTGCTTATTTGCTGAAATGGGTTTGAGCGTTGGGATGCATCAAATATTGTTGTCATTCTAGTTTAGCTGCTACTGCCATTCTGGTTTACCATGCAGCAAGGGAGCAGAGGTTGGGGAATCACGTGCCAACCTTGGATTGCTTGGCGACCTATCTCCAAGGGCGTTGAAATGAAGTAGTTATCTGCATCGCCCATGCACGTGAAGACTGAACGATGCATGGATTGCTTGGCGACCAACCCTGTTACTGTAGAAATCACGTTATTTCAACAAATAATTAATCAAATGCAATATGTGAAGAATTATTTTTTTTCAAAGCATTACGTGAAGAAATTTGCCGAAAATCAAATAGCAAATAGAGGCATAAGATCAAAGGGGTTGGGGGTAATCAAACCTGAGACATTGGGATGGCTATTTACACAATATTGTATATATCTTAGTTATTTCTAGAAAAAAATGCTCATGGTGGGAACTGAACACCATATAAAAAACATAAGAAAACTGAACCACCAGGAATAAGCCTTATATTAGAGTAATTGAAGGATATATATATATATTAAGCACTGATTTATACAATATTAAAATAAAATTTAAATTTAAAATTTATATATTTTAAAAATAAATTTAATATTTTTATTTTCACATTTATGATTCAAAGATTATATATAAATTTAAATTGAATCATTTTAATTTAATTAATAATTTTATTTTTTACTAAAAAATAAAATATATGAATATCTATATTTTAATTAAATTTTATTAAATTGTGTAGTACAAAATGTGTAATTTAAAATCGATTTTAGTCTTGATATATAACTTAAATTACACATATTAAACAAGACAATATTGTAACAAAAATTAATTAAAATATAAATAATTCAATTTTTATTTTTAATTAAAAAAATAAAATCATTAATTAAATTAAAAAAATAAATTTAAAACTATAAATAATCCTTGAATTATAAATACAAAAAATATTTTACTTTAAAATTATATAAAATTTAAATTTTATTTTAATATTGTATAACCAGTATTCAATATGTATAAAAAATTACCCATTTATTCTTAAATATAAGACTTGTTCTAGTGGTTTAATTTTTAAGTTTTTTATGGCATTAATTGAAATATATTGTAACACCCCCAACCC